CTAACTCCTAGCCTCAGGAAAAATTACAGGAAGAAGAAAAACAAAGATGATGTAAAATCTGAGTACTATGAATGGCCTAGTTAAATCACACAAATTTGCAGGTAACCTAATCATCATAACTTCATGACAACTCAGAGATCTTTAGCCACCTGACACAGGATCAGCAGGTGGTGAGTCACCCACGCCTGAGTTGAATGCCATTGACACCAATGATCACATATTCAAGGTTTTCCCAACATCAGATGATACACACTTTGCCAAACAAAGTTACCAGGAAATATTCTAGGAACAAAATTAAGTGCTAAGGATGCAAAGACCAAAATCAGTATTCACCCTGATAGGCATGCTGTAGAATCCCTTGTCTCCCCTTTTCTTCCTATCTCCACTGCCACCTATCTCAGCTTCCACCTCACCTAAACCTTCCTATGCCCTGTCTCCCCTTATTCTATTCTTCCCCGTACTCTATAGCTAAAATAATTTTTCTAAAGCATACTTGCAACTTACTCTGATTAGAAATGGTCACCCACTAGCTGCTGAAATTAAGAAACACCTATCCCAGTATTCAACCTCAACAAAACATCCTTCCCATCCCCTTTTCCTGTGCCTCCCTTTTCCATGTACACATCCTGCCACTTAGATGAGATCTTGTCTTGGGTCCCTTTTTTCTTTTAAACCTCTGGGGTGCTCCGTACCTCTTCTGTGGCACCTGCTTTATTCTGCTTTCTTTTGTTAAATGTGTCTAGTTTCTCCCACTTATTCCATTAGGTATTAAAAATTTTTAGACAAGAGTTGTATCTTGTTCATTTTTTTTTTTAGATGGATTCTTGTTCTGTGACCCAGGCTTGGGTATAGTGGCATGATCTCAGCTCTCTGAAACCTTCAAAAAATTATCCTGCCTCAGCCTCCTGAGTAGCTAGTTTTACAGGTGTGTGCCACCACAACTGGCTAATTTTTGTATTTTTAGTAGAGACAAGCTTTCACCATGTTGGCCAGGCTGGTCTCAAACTCCTGACCTCATGATCCACCTGTCTCAGGCTCCCAAAGTGCTGGGATTAAAGGCGTGAGCCACAGCACCTGGCCCCCCGTGTTCACATTTTTTTCACTTTAGCACAAAGTATATCAGTACTTATTAGGTACTAAAAATAATAATAATAAATGCAAAATTATTTGAATGGAGTCCAGTTTTAGACTTATTTTTTATGACATACTCGCTCCCTGAGGAGGCATACTACATGATTCTAACAGCAACACTCAAAGTAGCTAGCTAAAGTACTGTTCACACTCAGATTGTGTACAATTTTGTTAATATTTGTTAAATCCTAAAATCTGGCTGATTCATGTCACTTTCCTGAGATGTCATGCATGCTCTAGAATGCTTGTCTCTTCTATAACAAGGTGTTTTTCTGTTTTTGTTGTTTTAAATTCAGCTTGTTATCTACATGACTCCCAGATCAACTCTGGCTGTGCTTGTACCTGATTATTTATTTGTATAAATTGGGTATTAGTCTTAACAGTTGACATGAAGCTTTTCAGCATCCAGAGTATGGTTACTCCATTCATTAAGTAGAAGTAACACTGTCTCCACATTGTCAGCAGGTAGTGTGTTGCACATCTCTCTAGAGAGACACACTGTGTGACTTATTATCACACTGGCATAGGTAGTGGCTCAAAAAAATTCTAACAAAGAAAGGAGGAGCACAGGGTAAAAATAAGCTGAAATGAACATGCCATTAACCCTCTCACCTCTTCCCATGATGCTTTGTGAAAATAATCAGTGAATAATTCCTAGAGCTCCGGAACCTGGAACTCTCAGTGAAGAGAGGCAATAGGATGCAATTAACACCCTGATTTTATTTTTTTAATATCTTACACTAAAAGAGGAAATGTCTAACAGAATATTTAAATTCAGCATAAAATCCTAGCAACAACAATTTTAATTGCATACCAACTGCAAAAATATTTCTTTCATTGTCTGAATAAAAGGAAGGCTATAATATGCACTGTCTGCTTGTTTCAGGACTCAGTTATTAATCTTTAAGAATCTTTTCTAGGATGAAAGCCTCTTCCTCCAGCAAATGCATCTTGAGACTGGGTCTTAATCTTTTAAAATCCTAACTCTCATTTTGAACCATATTAAGACTTCTATCCCTGACATAAAAACACCTTGAACAATATTTCAGACAAAGGAATTTCAGGAATTTTTTTATTACTAACTCACAACAATACTTTTTAAAAGTCTCGAGAATGAAAAGCTACCTTTGTCTCCACATAAACACACATGTAAAAAATGCACAAAATGAAATTTGATTACTCAACAGCAAGTCATCACAAATGCAAGCAAAGATTGGGTTGCTGTTTCCATAGAGATGACTTTAAGTGGTTCAGTTCTTCTGGGAATTTAACCAAATCCCCAGCAGCAGGAGAAAATCATCAGCAAAAATTCTGTAACATATGGCAACTGCCAACAAATCAATGAGAAAAAAAATACTTTCATTTTCTTTTCCTTTTACCAAGAGGAATACCATCACACTGAGCTGTTTGAAGAAGTACACAGATTTTGCTGGTCACTCTGTGTGTAACTCAAAACTAAATAATACCAAGTTGCTTCATTCTTACGTTGAAAGGGCTGTTGCTTCCCAGCCAGGCTCTATAGCACATGCGATCCTGGAATGGCATTTAGCCATGAACAAGCCCTGGTGCATCTTCCCATGACTCCCTGACTATGGTCCTAAAGGAAAACGATCAACCTCCAGGGTTACCTCTTGGGAAAGAATGCAAATGGGATTTTATTCTCTAGTATAATTTTGAAGCTATGCTCATTCCATGTTTGTGTGTGTGTGTGTGTGTGTGTGTGTGTGTGTGAATTTTTTTAAGTTCTACTTATAACCCAATGATTAAAGTAAGAGTTTGAAGGAGAAAAATAATAGATGTAGTACTTTTTATTATTTTCTTTAGTTCTACCAATCCTATATCTGGAAGTTTTTTCCTCATATCAAGGTAGAAGTCACCTAGTTCAAGATACTTAAGTTCTCTCTTCAATATATGCTTTCAAGAACAAAAGTTCTGATGAATATGCAATCAATAGTCAATGAAAATGGCTGTCTCAGAATGAGTGAACACATCCAGTGACAAGGAATGCATCACTTCCAAGGAACCTATTCTATTTTGAACAGCTCATAACATCAAAAACAAAGTTCTTATGCTGAGGTTAAATCTACCTCCTTTTGACTTGCACCATTGAACTCAATTTTGTGCTTCCAAGGACATGCATTTAAGCTCAATACTTTGTCCACACAGCAGCACCTCACAAACCTGAGGGTGGGTTGAGACTACTCTTTCCGTTCTCACAGTCCAGTCTTTAGCCCTCTACACTCCTCGGTGGCACTATTTCCTTTCTCCTCCCTATGCTACTCCTGCACCTCTACAAATAGGTTGGTTTGCCAATGACTTTATTCACTCCAGTTCTTCTAATGTAAAATAAATAGTTGGCCTAAATAGTGGGGAAGGGTATAAGAAAAATGCCATCAAGGCCGGGTGCAGTGGCTCACACCTATAATCCCAGCACTTTGGGAGGCAGAGGTGGACAGATCATGAAGTGAAGAGATTGAGACCATCCTGGCCAACATGGTAAAACCCCATCTCTACTAAAAATACAAAAAGTAGCTGGGCATAGTGGTGCTTGCCTGTAGTTCCAGCTACTTGGGAGCCTGAGACAGGAGAATCACTTGAACCCAGGAGGTGGAGGTTGTAATGGGCTGAGATTATGCCACTGCACTCTAGCCTGCTGATAGAGCAAGACTCTGTCTCAATAAAAAAAAAAAGAAAGAAAAGAAAAAGAAAAACTCCATCAGAGGCCAGACAGATCTGTATAAAATATCTTTAGGTAAGGCCTCAGAGAGTGGCGATAGCTATTATAACCTGGAGAATTAGTTACCAGGCTGACTATTCAAATTTACATAGTTTTAAAACACTATACAGATACACGCACACACAAAACAACTTGGTCTAAAGTTGTGATCCTTGGCCAAATTACTCTGATACCAAAAATTAAATTAACAGGGTACCCATCTGAAATTTGAGAACTTAAAGAAGTCTTCCGTGATTAGGCTAGAGGAGAGGGGAGAGCGGTCATCTACATCATTAGACACTCTGGCAGGTTATTATGGGAATCTATCAAGTCAACTTTCTCTCAATGGCACACCAAAAAATAAACAAACCAAACTCATCATTCTTTCACTGCTCAGTATCTTCCATCAGGTAACCCTGTTTTACAGCAAAATGAATAATAGCACACAATCAGAAAAGACATTATGATAGAACAGAAATAAAAATACATTAGTCCTGAATAAAAGGTAAGGACCAGTTATCAGAGTATTTTTTAAACCTCATATTATTGCCTTCCATGCTCAATTAACTCTTTCCTTTGTTAAAACTTAAAATGTTTTTCAAACACATAAGTTGTGCTCTCCTTTATATGTAAAGGTTCTAATGCTGCACAAAGTGCGGGCAAATTGTCTTCCCATTAACCACACAGGAACATTCAGGAGCTGGCGGGCTAAGAATTAGACAGTGTCTGGGGCACAACCCAGGGAAGGCAGCTGCTTACAGCTCATTTTGAACTATCAATGTAATGTGAAAAATACCAGACTACAAAGTCCTGATTTAACCACCACAAGCTCCAGAGCATGTGACATGGGACCAAAGAAAGAGGCAAGGTTTTTCTCTGATTAGTGAAAAAGTATCATTATTTTATGATCACATGTCTTACAGTTCTGAAGCAGTTGGTTAGTGACACTTACAGCAAGTAATTAGTGGCCTAGTAGCTGGAGTTGCCACATGCAACCCCTCTACAAAGCAACCTCTGGGCATAACCCCACTTGACTAATTCTTGAATCACCATTCATGAATTTAACCATTCTTGTTACAAATTAATATTAGAGTTCCATACACACACACAAATATTCATTCTCTAAAGAAGAATGAACAATTTCTTGGTTTACCTTTGTCCATGACCTTTGATCCAGCAGGCTTATCTGGGACAGTAAGATGGTCGTGATTGCTACTCAATGAAGAAGTATCATCACTAGATAAAGAGTTCAAAAATCCACTTTCTGATGTGACAAAGCTGTTTTCCGGGACCTTGTGGCTGCCTGTCTCTGCAGGTACAGGTGAATGAACCTGCACAGCAAACGTTATTGGTTGTCCCTCGTCTTCAGCAGCAGACAAACTGTTAACTGTGTCAGGCCAGGACTGTCTCTCTTTAGATAAGGAGGAAGGAAAACTGCTGGGTGTCTTCACTGTATTTTCCAGGGAAGAGAAAGAACATGATGTTCCACTCAGGCTGGGTGAGGATGAAGATGCCTGCTGCGCAGCCTATTTTTCACAAATAAAACCAAAAAAAGAATAAAAGACATCGTGATTAAACCACCATTCTCTACCTTTCATTTTCAAAAAAGGTGTCCCCGTGTTATTTCAAAAAGTGACCAATAATAAAAGAGTCAAAAATAAAGGCATGATATTTATGTCTGTTTGACACACATTAGGATTTCATTCTCCAAAACTGATTTATGTAACTTTCAATTCACTGTTCTAGGATCTGAAAAATCTCCTTATCACGAGTTGTCCTATTCTTCAATGCTCTCCAGAAACTTAAAGGGCCTCTTTTGGGAATCCTTCAGAATACTGCATTATACTTTGAGCAAAATAAAATTTGCAATCTTTTGCTGAATTCACACTGATGGAGCAAATAATTATGAAAAAAGAGAAGCTGGGTGTGGTGGTTCATGACTGTAAGCCAAGCACTTTGGAGGCCATGGTGGGTGGATCTCCTGAGGCCAGGAGTTCGAGACCAGCCTGGCCAACATGGTGAAACCCCATCTCTACTAAAAATACAAAAATTAGCCAGGCATGGTGGCACGCATCTGTAGTCCCACCTATTCGGGAGGCTGAGGCAGGAGAATCACTTGAACCCAGGGGGCAGAGATTGTGGCGAGCCAAGATCATGCCACTGCACTCCAGTATGGTCAACAGAGTGAGACTCTGCCTCCAAAATGGAAAAAGAGAGCAAAAGCTGGAGCCATTCCAGAAACAAAATAATGTTACCTGAGTGGAGATGAGTGATGGGTGCAAAGCATATGAACCTAAACCCTTGAATATCGCTCACCTATTCCTTATTGCATGACAAGCCTTGGCAACATTTTCATTAGTACAGAGAGAAAACATCAAAGCAACATCCCAGTGATACGGTTAGCTCTGTATCCCCACCCAAATCTCATCTCAAATTGTAATCCCCACATGTTGAGGGAGGGACCTGATGGGAGGTGCTTGGATCATGGGGGTGGTTTCCCCCATGCTGTTCCAGTGAGTGAGTTCTCATGAGATCTGATAGTTTAAAAGTGTTTGGCGGTTCCCGCCTCGCTCACTGTCTCTCCTGCCACCACGTAAGATGTGCCTTGTTTCCCCCTTTGCCTTCCACCATGATTGTAAGTTTTCTGAGGCCTCCCCAGCCATGTGGAACTGTGAGTCAATTAAACCTCTTTCCTTTATAAACTACCCAGTCTCAGGTAGTTTCACACTCTTATAGCAATGTGAAAATGGACTAATATAACCAACAAGGACACTTTTGGGAAGAACTTCATTTATTCTGAGATTTTTATCTTTCCTACATTTTGATGTTGAAATATATGCCTTCTTTTGAAAAAATGGTGACAGCAGCTGGGCGGGGAGGAGCTCAGGCCTGTAATCCCAGCACTTTGGGAGGCCAAGGTGGGTGGACCACGAGGTCAGGAGTTCAAGATCAGCCTGGCCGAGATGGTGAAACCCTGTCTCGACAAAAAATACAAAAATTAGCTAGGCACAGTGGCAGATGCCTGTAATCCCAGCTACTCGGGAGGTTGAGGCAAGAGAATTGCTTGAACCCGGGAGGTGGAGGTTGCAGTGAGCCAAGATCACACCACTGCACTGCCTATGTGACAGAGCAAGACTCCAACTCAAAAAAAAATGGTGACAGCACATATAAGCCTTTGTCTCTTTGGAGTTTTTTAAATGTCCTAAGTAGCAAAATAAAGATTCAGAAATTCTATCTTGTTCTTCCATTTTTTAATTTTTAAATAAAATTTTTAATTTTATTGGCCAATAAAATTTAAAAATCTAGACTCCAGTACTCTATGGATCACCCTATATTTCCAACAGCAGATAAGATAGAGAAGGCATTTTACGGTTCAGTTGCATTACATCATCCTATGGGGCATGCCTGCCAATGTCAAGCATTCAGAACTCCAAGGAAGGCCAGGTGCGGTAGCTCACAACTGTTATCTCAGCACCTTGGGAGGCAGAGGCAGGTGGATCTCTGAGGACAGGAGTTTAAGACCAGCCTGGCCAACATGGTGAAACTAAAAATACAAAATTAGCAGGGCATGGTGGCTTATGCCTGTAATCCCAGCTACTCGGGAGGCTGAGGTAGGATAATCACTTGAACCCAGGAAGCAGACGTTGCAGTGAGCCAAGATCACGTGATTGTACTCCAGCCTGAACAACTGAGTGAGACTCCATCTCAAAAAAACAGAAACCAAGAAAATCTCCAAGGAAGTGTCAGGAAGGTTGATAGAGAGAGGAAGCCAAAGAGCAAACTAGAATCCTCTTCAAAAACCTCAGAACCATAGCAACTAATTCAGAAGAGTTGACTCTGTTTCAAATCAATATGGTCCACAGGAAATTTGTAGATTCTGAGCTCTGAGTTTTCATGGGAGAAGCCAATATTTACCTAATGTGTACCCAATCAGCTCCATGCTAGACATGGATTGTCAGATAATCAATAAATCTACTTTTAAGTAGCATGACATTAAAATCTCTAGTTAAGATACTAATCCCACATATTTTATAAATGATCATATACTGTCACGGACATTAAAAAAATTCCATTCAGGAATAAGTGAAGTAGCTTGTAAACTGGCTATCTTACGTCACTTAGATATTTAATAACCAACAGATCAAAGATCTGTCATTTCAGTAAAAACCTAGTTATCTAGCAGAGGGAATGCACTATCCCAAACTGTCCAAATAAATACTAGGAGTAGTTTACTAATTAGCAAGATCTACAAAATAAATATTAACAAAAATATCTATTCTGGCCCAATCCTGACACGCTCCCCCATTGTGAGCTATTTTAGTAAAACTCAATTTCTACATGATCAATCTCTTTTTTGAAACACCAAACATGAGCTTTTCCTATTACTCCTGCTGATTCTGCTTTAAATTAGGTTATAGCCAACTGGGCTATTTGAACAAGAGACCATGCACACAGTTGCTACATCACTGTCTGTAAGGTTTTTTGAACCTCAAAACTCTGCTTAAAGTATTAAGACCTATTAAATGAGCATCAGAAATATCTGTGCAGTGTCATCCTGTTTGTGGTGTGACTCAAACACAGTGCAAATGCTCTCTCAACCCATTTTCTCTAGACACCACGTACCACTTATAAATTTCATTTTTAAATGAAGAAAAGAAGAATGAAGGGTAAAAAAGAAAGAGGGAGAGAGAAGAAAGAAGAAGACTTGGAGAAGAGAAAAATGAAAATGAGAAAATGACTACATGTATCAGGTCGGGAGAGTTTTCACTGGAAGTGAGAGTGATAAAGTACAAATCAAAGTGAACCTGGAGTTCCATTTCCAAGGATTCAGTATGGGAACATGTATTATAGACGGTGTAGTGCTAAGGCATGGCTCATGATTTCTAACATTCCAGAGAAACCAATAGCCAAACACTGAGCATAGAACTCAGCTCAGTGCCTTCTGTGAACCATCTGTGCAATATACTCATAAAGCTCCCCAGTGAAAATCAAATGAAAGCAGAAGGCAGTGCTAGTTCTCTCCTCTCCACCACATCCCACCTCTAATGGTAAATATGAGCCCATCCTTCATCTGTCTATTCAAACACCAACTCTTCCAGGAAGTCTTCTCTGATAGTCTCAGGGCCAGGTAGGTGCTTTCCTTGGTGCTTCTGGGCTCATTTCTATCACATTTGGTGGAATAGCATTTTGTTTATCACCTTACACAGTTGTTCCTTGAACAGTAGGGATTCAAACTGCACAGGCCCACTTAAGCACAGATATTTTTCCAACAAATACAGTCAGCCCTCTGTATCCATGGATTCCAAATCCACAACCAAATGGGAATGAAGACAGCATCTGCAGGATGCAGGATGAGAAACTCAAGGATACAGAGAACTGACTTTTTGTGTAGGTGGCTTCTGCAGCAACCCCCTGTGAGACTTGAGTATGCAGAGACTTTTGGTATCCATGGGGTTCCTGGAACTAAACCCCCACAGATACCAAGGGAAAACTGGATTGTAACAACTTATTGACAATTCATCTTTTTTGATGGGCTACCTGAGAACAGGCTGATTTTAATCATTTTTGCGCCTCCATTTATTTAAATTTTATTTTTTTATTGCATTTTAGATTTGGGGGTACATGTGAAGAACATGCAAGATTGTTGCATAGGTACACACATGGCAGTGTGATTTGCTGCCTTCCTCCCCATCACCTATATCTGGCATTTCTCCCCATGCTCTCTCTCCATTTTTTGCCTCTTGCTTAACACAGAATTGGTGACAATGACAAAGAATTGGCCAGAACCAGCTCTGTGAAGAAAAGCACCCCAGAGTCATTCAGCCCTTGGTGGAGGAGCTTCCTGAAATGCTCCATAAAGTTGCTGTGAGTGATTTATCTGCGTCCCAGGCTTGAGGGGTTATCAGTGCAAATAGCCCCCAGAAATGTTCTTATAACCTCAAATAAAATTATTTTATTTAATTAGTGATTACTAATTATATGTGGTTTCACTCTTTTCAGAACACAAATGTTAAGTATTTTATATTTAAAGTGAGGAAATTTAAAACATTTTTTAAATCTTAGTTCTAGTTAAGAGACTGTGATATGATTACATTAAAAATTAATATTGATTTTTCCTATTCTGTATAGGATAGTTTTCATTATTGAAGAAGCTTCACTCAAATGTTAGCCCTAAAATCCTTTTCTTGGAATTATTTTTCAAATACAAGTTTGACATGGTGAAAAATAGTTTAAAATGGCCACCCGAATCCTGTAATTAGGCAGAAGTGAGCCAGCACAGAAATCTCAAGGAGTCAAAGTACGCGAAAATAAAAAAGTCTAAAGAAAGCGAAATAAAACCAAAATGAGAAGAAAGGAAGAAAAGTAACAGCTTCTCTTTCTTTGTGTTGGCCATATTCACAAAAAAACATAAACTAGTTAATTGTTAAGCCCCAGGAAGTAGCATGTGTGGATTTCTCCTATATGCCAGGAGAAGCATTACGAAGACCTTGTATAGTAGGTCCTTCTCTGCCACTGACCTTCTGCA